CCTCCCTCTGTGTCGTCCCGCGTCATCTTTTCCATCGCGCACCCCACCACTCCCCCCACCGCCTACGGGTCATTTTTTCCATCGTCGTTGTTATGTCACCATCGGGAGGGCCCGAACCCAACCAATCTAGCTTCTTCGCATCCTCCGGCCCCGTTATGCTCGCGTCATGCCTGAAACCAATGTCGCAGGGTGCCCATCCGGGGATGTAGTCGGGGTACTCTCCAAACGTAGCTTTCGCCTTCCCGAGCCTGTCCGTGACGACTTTTGCGGCGCGGACGACGGATCGTCGATGATCGAAGGGCCGATGCATGGACGTGACGAGTGTGGGCTTCACCACCAGGTCCGCGAGGTAGAAAGCTTCGTAGTGGCTGCGCGGATCGTCTCCTGCCATGCGCATTATCCACATGCATGCCGCAAACAAAAGTTTGAAGCAGTCAGCCACCCGACAGAGACGGTCGTATGAGATGAAGTCGCCGTCGATGTGTGCACCCATTTGCACCGCCGCGCGGAATGCATGCGAGACGCAGATGACGGTAGACTCCTGGTACGCTGCCATGTCGTCGTCCTCAGGTCTGTCCTCGATGTTGGCGCCGACGAACCATAGTGGCAAGTCCATGGACAGATCTATCGTGTGCGCGCATACCGTCGCACTGATGATGTTGCACCACTCCTCGCCGCACCACATTGCACGCGCAATGTCCGTCGCTACGGACTCGAGCGAGTACTCGAAAGCCACATTGTAACCCCTTGGGCGGTTCCCGGACTTGAAAATCCAGCCGTGCAAGAAAAGATGCGCAGAGCAATGTTCTCCACTGCAGCCGCGTGGGAGATCGCTTGCTGCAGCTGTGATGGGCCGGTGATCCTGGCTACCATCGTGTTGGATTTGGGCAGGACGACGCTCCGAGGGACAACAGGCGCTGGAAGGCCGCTGGCGATGGCGACAAAGTACTCTCTCGTTTCGTGGACGATGTTGTATAGTCTTCGCCCCTCCCCCGTCGTCCAGAAAGCTTTGTCATCAACCCAAAGCACGACACGATTGATGAGGTCTTTCGTCATCATTCCCCTACGTACCCGGCTTGAACCAGGATCGCCGCCGTCCCGATCACTTTTGTTCTCGCCACGCGCCTCTTCTCTCGCCGTCGCAACAAATGTCGCTTCCTCTCTCGCCGCTACAACGGGGGCCACAGTGCCCAAAGCACCTGCACCTGCACCACCTCCAGCCTCGCCACCAACTGTGCAAGCTTCTGCCACGACTTCCCCCCCGCCGCCACGCTGGACGGACCCTCCGTCATCACCCGGATCGCGCTGACGTGGCTGAGATGGCGTGGCGGGCAGTCCACCCGTGTTTCGCCTTTCGTCTACCTCAGCGAGCGCCGTCGTCGCCAGCGCTGGGTTGCCTTGTGTTGGAGTGCACAGGCGACGTTCGTGCAAGGGCTCGTCGTCGTCGCCAGCGCTGGGTTGCCTTGTGTTGGAGTGCGCAGGCGACGTTCGTGCAAGGGCTGGTCATCGTCGCCGCCCACATCAACGATGACAACCTTCTCTGTCCGGGTATCGCGGGCACGTGGTTGCTGCGCCTCGGGTGGAGGGATCATCAACCTCTTCGAAGCGCTCTGATTAGAAGAGCATTGTCGTGCGCCCTCTCGTACTGCAGACGCGGTCGCCTCTGCGTGCTCTTCCTCCGTTTCAAGTCATCGTCGTAATCGCCTTCCGCTGCTGCCGCCCAACCTTGCACTGAACGAGGAGGCAAGCTTGGTGATGCATCATCCAAACGCGCCCTCTTCGCTTTCGGGACATGCCGCCGACCTCTTCCCTGCCCTTGGGTGTCGTCAGGGACGCCGTCGCGCTTCTTACCACAGGCGCTCCCTCGCATGGACATGTTTCATGGGCACGTCTGCAGGCGAGCTTGGCGGTCCGATCGGATGATCGGGATGTGCTTCGTCGACCGCCGTATGAAGTTCCGTCGATCCGGCGAGAAAAATATATTCCGTTCTGGTTTGGCGTGACGACGACGAATACCCCTACGACGCAGAAGGTCTCTCCTCCGCAGGAAGAAGACGCCGACGCACACTTGTGTGGCAGAAGGAAGACGACCCCAGCGAGAGCGCTCCGCAGCAAAAAGATTGACGGCGAGAATGCTCCGCGGCGGAATGATTGGCGGCTGACGTCCAGGTATGCGACAGAAGGACGACGACTCCAGCGGAGATCCTCCACGTCTGGGGAGATGGCAACAATGGCGTCGGCGGTGGTCCTTTCGCGGCAGTGAAGATGTTCACGGGGTGCAGACGACATTTATCCTCGGCGCGCAGGCTTGTACTACACCCTCGTCGACCTGCTGGGTGTGCACCAGGCGCGTCGATCTTCTGTGGTTCAAACACCCCACTGCGGATCACATGCATCCGGGCTGGGATGCGCACGTCTGTAGTTAATGTCGCACATGGACCGCCCACGACGTCGCTTCTACGTGGCGGGAAACGGCATCGTCGACGGTGCAACGTCAGACCGTCCCTGCCTGTCCTAACGTGTCATTATCATCCTCCCCAAGCCGCGAAAAGACCCTTCGACGGCCTTGGCGACGCGCGCCATTGCACTTGCCAGGGACAAAAAGTAAGAGAACCCACCTTCGCCCCTGGCAACCCCATCGCGCCTACCCCACGCAGCCACCGCCCCCCCCCCCCCCCCCCCCCAACCCCCCAACCCCCCAACCCCTCTTTCTTCTCCTGACCCCCTTGTCCACAATCCCTAAACGACACACCCCCTTCCAGATGTGGCTCTATGCTTTTACAGCTACCAAAACGCAGATGATGCACGATGGTCGTCGATAACGATGAGTAAAATGAAAAAAAAGAAAAAAATTGACCCACACAACTGTCTGGACGACACACACACACACACACACACACACGCACACAGCCAGTGCGGTCTACCACCGTGCTCCTAGACAGAAGAATCCGTGAACCAAAAAAAAAAAAAAAAAAAAAACAAATAAAATTAAGACAATTACGAACGCAATGACTGAACTTCAATCGACGCACGATCCAACGGCCTACATCGGCGACCCACCACGGATGGCGGCTGCGATCTCCGTAAGCGCGTGACACATCATCCTCTCCGTCTCCTCGAACGCCGCATAGTGCGCTTTTTGGACTGCAACTTCCGGCTCGAGTATGTCACATTGCCTCATGAATATGCTGCATTGCCGCTTGCTAGATGAATCGATTGTCGCCGACATCAGTTCACCATGGCGGTCCATGACATCAGCGATCGACTCCAATGCCTGTTGACGCGCATTCTTCCGTTTCCCGCCTCCAGCCCCAGTGCCTGCGTTGTTGTCGGAGTCCTTCGCAAAAGAGCGTTCTTCAGGGCAGCCATCACCTCCGGCCTCGCTTCCAACAAACTCCCCACCAACCGCTCCTCGCCTAGGCAGTTGCACCCCATTCGGACTGCCGGTGTCCGCGACGTTGGGAGGGAAAATAGTATGGTTCCCCAGCATGCCAGCGTGGATCTCGTTGTACACCACCCTATCCATCCGGAACTTGAAGTTATGCTCCTTCCTTTCTTCGTTCGATAGCCTGAAGAAATCTTCGTGGCCGCTGGCATTCTAAAACCTCTGTATCTTCTTGTAGTTTTGGAAGAGATTGTCCCACTTCTTCATGCAGTCGTCGGCGTCTTTAGGCCTCCCCGCGATCGCCATGTGTTTCGCAATGTCGTCCCCCTTCCACTTCTTCGTGCGCATCCGCCCGTAATTGTGACCCAGCCCGGCGAGGTGGATCTCCTGCTCCCACTTGCATCTCACGAGGGCCATTTGTTCTTCTGGAGACCAGTACGTCGCACACTTCCCGTCGTCGTCGCTGATGCCACCTCTGCCGCCACGGCCGACGGATCGACCACGAACAGCACCTTCGTCGCGTCCTTTCCCCCTCCCACCCGTCTTCCCCAAAGGCCGAATAGGAATGTCGTCGTCGTCGTCCCCTACTTCCACGTCCTCCCTGAATCCTTCATCTGCATCGTCACCAGCACCGCCATCGTTGTGTGCCCGCATGTTGGACACTCCTCGTGTGATGTTCTCCACAGTGGGTCGTGGATGCACCAGTGGTATGCGGGCGCCGTCGTCCCTCAGGTCGGGTTCGGTCGGCGTTGTGCGGTTCGGCATCGAAGGACGTGCACCGCCGATGCCCAGGGACTAGGCTGCGACTCCAGTGCATGAGGGCCAGCCACTTGTCAATTGATTGGCGGACGATGCAGTAGATCCATGCTGTCGGCCTGCTGGCGATGGCCCGACACCGCCAGTAACGGACGCACCGCCACGAAGTGTGGACTGCTCCGTGTGCTCGCTTCCAGCATGTTGAAGGCCAGGTGTTGAAGGATCGGTGTCGATGATGAACGTACGGCTCACCTCCCTGGCGCCGCCAGAACACAACCCTAACCTGAGATCAAGTCCCCCGTCGTCGTCGTCTCCCAAGCTTTGGCGCAAGACGGAGGTGTACTCGCCGCCTTCGTTGCTAGCCGCCCCGCCTGCTCGTACCGTCTGTGACAACAGCTGCATCGACCCGCTGGCGAGAGGCAACGTTGGAAGTTCCTATGTCTCCGACTCCTCGTCCGACGGGGGCAGTGGCGTCTCCCACGACTCTAGATGGGCATACATGGACGGGTCATACCGCCTTGTCTGTCCTGTCATCGCAGGTCGTCTTCCACTGTGACCTGCAGCCACGTCCGCGCGTGCCTGCATGCCCGCCCTCGGACGCTCCCTTGCTTGCCGTTTCGATGACGCCCTCCGCTTGCAATGCTGCTTCCAAGGCCGGCATGACAAACACACGTGGAGGAAGACGACAAACAGGAAGATGACCACAACGAGCACCAGCAGAGGCAATCTCCTATGCATGTCTGCCATCAATTGAATCGCAGGCAGGCACACTTCCACGCGACTGCTGCAAAAATTTCTTCTGAAATGCCGGTGTATAGGGCAATTGGACCTTCATATGTCGACAACCACTAGAGAAGACGACAAAGGTGTCTGCCTGCGATTCAAAAATTGACCGTTGCGGCCCGTACACTGCCCGAAGCGCATTTGTATGTCATCCCGCTCACGTCAATGTCCTCATCTGCCACCAGCAAGCGAGCCAACGATCCACTACAGACGCCCGCCTGCCCCTGCTCGGGACCCCCCGCTCCACCCTGTCGGCCAATGGCTACCGTTGGTGGCCGTTGCCGGCGTCGACCCGCGAAAAACCTTTGATGTTCGACCACCCACCCGACGGACCGCTCCTGGACCAGCAACCCCGTGTCAACGGGGCCATGCGCGAGACGCAAAGATTCCGTGAAACTCGGGAATCCTAAATTTTTCAGTAGGTCGGGGGCTACTGGAAAATTTAGGACGATTTTGCCTGGGGAATCCTAAATCCTTTAAGACTCGTCCTAACGCCATTTTCACATTTTCGATCTCGAAAATGGATTCAGGATTGCGTGCAACGAAGACGCAATCCTAAAAACAGGCACTTTTTTAGGAGTGTCTAACGAGACCCTTACTAAGTCAAAACAGAAAGCCACATAAGCCTTTTGAATGCCCAAAACCTCTGGAATCCCCAACAAAACATTCTAAAAATCTCTAACAATGTCTTATTCCCTGCCGAGCTTTCCCAGACCTCATGCCCCCATCCTGCTAGGTTACAAGGCAACACAACTCACCCCAGTCCGGCCAGTGTCGTACCGACATCAACCCTTGGTTTTCCCTTGGAATGCCCGGCCCAAGGCATCCCCAGATCTCTCTACCAGGCCTCACGCTCCTGCTGTCAACAGGTTACAGGGCAACCCCCCAAGCTCCGGCCAGCGTCGTTATGGCATCGAAAAAATGCAGATCCATGAATACAACATGATTAAAAAAACCTAAAATGAGTTGCAAGAGGTGCCCAGAATCCTAAGGCATTCTCAAGACTTTCCTCATGAGATATGGTAAAATTCAGAAAAAATCCGAAAAAGCTTGGAAAAATATGAGAGCGTGGGGTCAAAACTGAGACTGCCTACTATCCAAAACTCCCCCCCTCAACAGGCGGGACGTTGGTCCAAGCTTTCAGTCCTCATACCATAACTCACTTGATCTCATACCCCCGTCTACTAGGGTAACAAGGCACCACAACCCTCCCCAGTACTGACCAACCTAGTTCTGACGAACAGGAAGTGCCTTCCTCCCTCGACATTTCCCTTAGCGGCAAGCCCCTGACCAGGTTACAGGGTCAATACCCCGGCGCCAGCTACGTCGAACGGTCTGGTTATGCCTTCCACCCTCTGCATAACTCCACAGGCCTCAAGCTCCCCCTAGGTCACAGAGCAAAGCTCCAGCACCAGCTTGTGTCGTCCCAACATAGTCCTTCTAACCTACTTACCTTAACAAACAACCTTCCTCTGCCGAGAGCCCCCTTACTACCTTCCATCCTCCAATTCTAGCTCCCCCCCCTTCCTTCCTTTTTTGAGATACCAGGGTCATTGTCTGGCTTCGACTAAGAAGAATCAGAAAGACGGAAAAACGAAATTCACCCACGATCCAGCTCCTTCCTCGCACCGCAGAGGGAAGACTACTGCACAGGCATTCAGTCCTCGTACCAGAACTCGCTAGATCTCATACCCCCCTTGCTAGGGTGACAGGACAACACCAACTTGGACTGCCCCAGTACCGACCAAACTAGTTCTGACGAATAGGAACTTGAAGTGTCTTCCTCCCTCGACAGCTTCCTTAGTTGCACAACTCCCAAAGTTATAGGGTCACTGCCCTGACATCAGCTACATTGAACAAGATGGTTATGCCTTCCACCCTCGGCATAGCTCCAACAGTCTCAAGCTCCCCCTGGTTACAAAGCAACAGCTTCAGCACCGACTATTATCACCCCAGCCCGCCCTTCTAACTTGAATAGACCTACCACCCTGAACACCAATCCGTCCTCTGCCCGAGCACCACCTTGCTAAAACCAACCTTCCCTTTCCTGCTTACCGAATAACTTTTAAAGAGTTTTAACTTGTAAGAATTTTTTGAAAACTCAGGAAAATCAGATATCAATTATAACTCGTTTTTGTGACTCCTGCGTAATCTTCCCCTAATTTATTCTTCTGCCTGGGGAATTTCTGAATAACTTCTCGAGTTTTTCCAAAAGACAAACTAGGCCAGCGGCCTTGTGACGCCCAACCTCACGCCCAGTGCGACTTCCTGATCGGAGTGGGATGGGGGCCCGGAAGTGCGAAAAGGGGTGTGCCAAGGATTTTAGGATAGTGGAGGGGGGTGGAGTTCCAGGATGGAACTGAATCTCCTATGGCAAGCCTTAGGGATAGTTGTGCAAGATAGTCAGCGCGGGCCGAATCTGACTTTAATGCCTTGGGGGATATCATCGTCATCCCCGCGAGTTCCGTTGCCTAGGCCGGGCTCGGATTTGATGAACCGGCGGAATGTTATACGTGTCGCGCTGCTTGATTAATCGTTGGCGCTCGTGACAAGCCTCGGAGTCGGACGAGGCAGGGTCGCACTTTTTCCAGTCGGATCGCTTTAGACGACCGGAAAGCCAACAGGCTGTCACGCGGGGTTTTGTATGTGATTGCAATAAATAAAATAAATTAATTAAAGCAAATCCCTTCCTGTTGTGTGCGTTCGGCTTCGAGCGAGACCCTTCAATTACGGTTTTCGCCAGTCCCCGGTCTTAGGAATCTTTTATTTTGATTCGGAACAACAGAGAATCATGTAGATAATAATCATAAAATTGTGGAGCGCTAAGCATGCATCAATTATGTCAATCTGATTTTGAGAACTGTGACAGAATCATCCACAAATGCAATCATCAAGCAAGAACAATGCAAGAAGCAAGACCGACTGACTCGAGCAATGACATAGTCAAATGAATGAGGGAAGAATGAGAACTCATAATAGTCTCAGGAAGTACATGTGGAAGAGAGCATGGCCAGCACCAATCATGAGACTTCAATCATCCCTCTGGATATTACACTCATTTTCTCACTTTGTTGTCCGTCGTTTGGGCTTCTTACCATGTCTCTGTACTTTCTGAGGTTGTGGCTTCGAAATGTAAAGCCACCTGAAGCCTGCTAGTTCCAAACATTTTCATTCAAGTCCCATGATACGAAAGTCAACCATGACATAAAATTTTCTCCCATAGAGTGGGGAGATATGGCTGAGAGAAAATGCCCCTCCTGAGATGAGAAAACTCGGAGGGTTTAGTCACTGCCTCGTAGTCGATCTCTGCTGGCGATATGTATCTCTTGGCCAAGTCCACCAGTCCACCCCAATAAGAGTCGTCAGTAAAGTAGTAGGGGACCGGAGGTTTGGGGTAGTCAGTGAAAAACTTAGGACGAAAGTTATAGACTAGCTTTGTGCTCCCCTGGAGTCTCTCAGCTTTCCATTGCACAAACCCGGCTGCTTCGGCCCACACTGCATCAAAATGAGGATGTGTCTCGTTCCCCTTTTTCAAGAAGATCCGCAGATCGTTGACTGTACCCTCAACGAACTCAGTGAGAATGACGAAGATAGACGGATCTTCGCGCTTGAACCCATCAATCCTGACATACTTGTGGGGGAAGCTCTCCCTGGCAGCGATCAGATTGAGGCTGTCAAGGACCGACTGATCAACTTTAATGGGGTTGATCTCTCTCATGTGTTCAGATAAGTAGTTACCCCCTCATAGAAAGAAAAATAACTATGCTTGATTGATAGACGTCTGCCGCTTAAGAGTCTTTTAAATACTGTTCCGGATGCTATTTCTGATTACTCAGTCTGTTTCTGATTGTTGTTTTCTGATTGCTGTTTCTAATTGTTGTTTCTGGTTGCTGATTCTTATTGCATATTAATTGCTGATTAGAAGACTGACTGACGGCTGAACAGAAAACAGATTGACTGCTGCTTCAACGCCCATTAATAGAATCGTTGTTCGTATTCTGCCGATATACTGGGTGCTCTGTTGCGGTTTGTTTTCAGAAACCAGCCTGTTTTTTTTAATCTGCCTCCGCCTGAGGTGTACTTGCCTCTCTCGGAGTTGATGGCTAGACTATCTTACTGATTTCCGATAATCTTTCTCCTTGCCTCCTCAACGGATCTTACTCACGAGAGGGTACTGTATAACTTTCCATCCGATCCGTGAATGTAGAAAGTGTATTCAATATGCGTCTGATTTTTTACTTGCTCTAGAGTCTGTTCCATCATGAGTCTTGTCAGATAACAGAGGTCTTGTGTGACCCTCTCCTCCCAACCTTCACCTTTGTCTTGATGCAGGGTACAAGTCACCCTCAAT